GAAAGACCCATCTTCGGTTCCTGCCACAGCTGTAGGACGTAGTAATTACGATGTGGAATAGTAATTTCATTGCGAACCCTCAGTTTTTATCCACGCAATTTAATGCAATTTCTTTACAAAGATAACTGCTGCTATACAAGCCCCAGTGTTACTGAATGTCTGAAGTTAATATTTTGTTTGTTTGAGATCAATCGATTTTCTTTTACTCTTTAGACCCGCACCTACGTCCATCTGTTTGATGAGAGCATTCAGAACTGGTTTGCAGTGGCCTCCATTCTAGAAAATACGTTAGAAACACTGAAAGCACTGAAGCCAAACCTCAACCAGGTATATCTTAGGTCCGACAACGCCGGCTGTTACCACTGTGCCTACCTTCTTCTGTCGCTCCCCAGTATTGGTGATCGTACCGGAGTCACGATTGCACGATACGACTTCAGTGAGCCGCAGGCTGGTAAAGATATCTGCGATCGTCGCACTGCTGCAATTAAAAGCCACATTCGACGCTTTCTTAATGAAGGAAATGATGTCAAGTCTGCCAATGACATGAAAACCGCCATTGAGTCTTATGGAGGCATCAAGGGCTGCTATGCGGCTGTGTGTCTAGTTCAACCATCTGCGCAGACGATGAGCAAGCATAATATGGCTGGGATACAGTCGCTACATAACTTCTCTTACGAGAATGGAGGCATAAGGGTGTGGCGTGCCTATAACGTGGCTCCTGGAAAGTTTTATAGTGCAGCTCTGCTTGCACGGTTTGGTACTCCCCAAGGTCCTACAAAGCTCGTCATAATTCATCCTTTTGGCAGACCACAAGTAGAGGTGGGTACCTATCGCCAGCAACGCGCTATGCCTGCAAGATCTTCGTCTTTGCCTGGGTCACATCAAGAACCTCCTGAATCCGCACAGGCAGAACAGGTAGGAGAGAAGCTTATGTTTCATTGTCCAGAGGAAGGGTGTATCAAGACCTTCCAGTCATTTGCCTCGCTCCAAAGGCACCTGGACGTTGGTACGCACATGGTGAGACTGGTAAAGGAGTCCACCTATGACGAGATCAGGCGAAAATGGGCGGAGGCATGCCATTCCCTGGGTGCTGGTTATGTTCGGGGTGATTCAGCTACCTTCGACTCCAGTGACCAAGCAACGCCTGGCGAAGTCGTGGAGCTAGGATGGGCTCTTCAGAAAAATCGAAAACCGGTAGCCTTTTCCGAGAAAGCGAAGAGCTATCTGGTAGACGTGTTTTGGGCCGGAGAGGAAACAGGAAAGAAGGCAAACGCCTCCTTTGTCGCCTCCAGAATGAAGTCTTTGAGAGACGAGAACGGGCAGAAGATGTTCACAAAGACCGACTGGTTGACAGAACAACAGATTGCTCGATACTTTAGCCGACTCTCCGCCCTCAATAAGGCTGGCCGATTACAGAGAGCCCACTCTTCCTTAATGAATGAGGACGAAGAGGCTGATGCCGATGATCTTGTTGTAGAAGCCGAGGCTGTCCGGACAAGGCAGCAGATAAGGAGGGACCTTGAACTTTAATTTTTTAAAAAATTGGTAGGAGTGCAATTACCTTCTTACCTAGTGGCACGAAAGTTTAGTTTTGCGAATTGGCGATTTTTTTGGGTGTGTTTTGAGGGAACTAATTTTTGCAATTAGGACAGGTTTTCTTGCTGACAATGAACTTTTGCTATTTTTTTAAGGAAGTCCCGGGCAAATCAAAGATAATATTTTCTTTTTTATTGAATACATGCAAATCAACCTCGTCCCCAGGGCGCTTTTCCCTGTCTTTGGGGGCGGGGAAAAAAATTCGTCAACAATTCCACTGTGTGTATACCCCATTTAAAACCAGCAAGACAGATTACTTTCCTGTGGCATTCGATTGCAAACACGTACCGCAAAAATTTTATGCCACACGGTAACTCGAACAAACAATGCTCTGGAATGAAGGCCGATAGTACCCAATCAGTGAACGTCGAGTTTATTCGAGGATTGTATTTCAGTTTCTTTTACAAGCCAGGAAAAATGACAGTGTGTTACATCCCAGCAAGAACAAAAATACCTGCATGTTTTACATAAAATTTTTCAAATGATTAAGCCTTGTTGTCAACCTTGATAAGTAGAGTTTCAAAATAAATGCCGCCCTTGAATAAACACAGCATCGGGAACATGAAGTAAACACGGAATATTTAGTAAAAAAAAGGTCACGACATTTTTCTTTCAGTTTTGCCTTTTTGGGAGACGAAAGTAAAAACGTAAATATTTATTTTTTGTTGCGTTTTGTTTTGTTTATTTTTATTTATTGTCTCTTCCTGTCTGGGCAACCGAAAATTGTTTAGAATTACTATGAAATTTCCGGGGTACGCGGGAAATTCGCTGAACAAAACATTGCAGGCTCTTTTTTTTGTCACGTAATACTTGGGCGTATAAATGTTGATCGAGAGTGATAGAACTCTAAAAAACTTGTATTTAAAAAAAATGCAGATAGGAGAAAACAAATAAGTCATGGAGATAAGAAGGCCATTCTGAAGGCCTTCCTTGGGGGCAAAGAAGAGGATTTGAAACAAATATTGTCTGGTCATGCAGCATACATTAGTTCGGCGTAGATCGACGGCGACCCGACGGCGGTAAGCGAAAATAACACCATTGTTCCTTCTAATATTCTTCTTTTTCCAAGTTCGTAACCAGAAGTTAAATAAATTTTTAAGAGCTTAATTTCTTTATCACTAGAAGGAAGAATTTCTCATCATTATGTTGTTTTTAGATGTGGGAGTTGACATTGCTTTATGGCTGGCGTGACTCAAAGTTTGTCAACAACCGCGCGCCATGTTGCCTTGAAATCTACCCTAGGAAATTAAGAACAGCCTGGTTTTCTCACAGTAAAGACAATAGACAATAAATACTTGAATAAGACGACTTATTATTAGTTTAACTCCTAAGAAGAATAATCTCTGATTTTGCGAGAACCTCTAAACGAGCTCACAAAGATTACGATTTTGCTTTCGATATTTTGGTGTCATGCATTACTACTCAGTGTGAAATCTTTAATTTTCTCGCCAAATCTAGATCGTCTTAAGCATGTATTAAACTCTTCAATTACTAATCTTGTATAATGGGCTAGAAAATGTCGATTTATTAGCTTGAGCAGCCGTTAATCCTTGAATTAAAGGAAAGATGAAGTGGAAATAAACCTATTCTAGGTGTAGTTTTCAATTGGTATCTGACGCCCAAAAAAGGCAGAGCCCAGAAATTTTTTTTATGTTTATAATAGACCAAAGGGTAGTTAAGCAGGGAATAGCAAAATTATTGTCATAGCTTTCTGGCAAGGAGAGATATTCGATCTCAAAATCAGCAAATAATTGAATGGCTAAAAAGGTGGTCCCATATTCAAGGCCAGTGATTGACAAGCTGTCAATTAAATTGACTGAAACTTATATTCTTGCATTTATTAAAGACGTATCAACATAGACACAAACCCTCATAGTCAAAGGTTAAAAACAGTTGTCCTGAGAGCTTCCTACTTTTACCTGTTATTAATGCCCTTTTATTGGTAAAAAATCAAATTAAACTAGTTGGGTGGGCTATCTCCCACCATAAAGATCCAAACTACAAACCAGTTTGTCATTTTGAGTTTTGGGGTAGACCCTTTAAACTGGCCAAGTTTCAGCGAAATCGGAGAGATGGCATGTAGCACACCTGCCTGGTGCACCCATGGACTCACTCTTAAGTCAAGTGTATGGAGATGTATTAGAAATAGAAGACCTATTTGATGATGACCAAATCCACGGGGATTGCGATTATGAACTTGATGACCTAAATGAACAGTGGGACAATTTATTACATGATGATTCTTTGTTTGAACTGGCTATTGATAATATGTCTTTGTCCCAACTTGAAATAAGTACATGTGATGTCTCTAACAGTTCTTTAAATCGGTCCGGAAATTGTGAAGTACCAGGAGCTGCCATGGATGTACTTGAAAACTTGGCATTTGCAGAGTAGGATATTGTTATGAGTCCTTGTTTTCATTTCTTGCTTTTCTTTTGTGTCTTTCTACTTTGTTTAGAGGGGGGGTGGGAGGGGATGAGGGACCTGCTATTTTCCCTTAGAAATCTTAAGTGATGCACATTTTTCATTCCTGAAATAAAATGTTTTTTTTTCATACAAACTGAAAGATGTAAAACAGTAACAAAAGTGGAACATTTATGGACAGGGTCATCAGTGTGATAGTATGGTATAATATTGCTTGATACCTTTCACACCTAATTCAAGCCAATGTGATAACTTACTTGGTAGCGTGATGCTATTTTTTTTCTTAAAGTATCACAGAAACAAGCTCTATAACAGTTCCATACAGCATTTCAGAACTACCAGCTGTATACCCATTACATTCTTAGCTGCCATTACAGTTTTGACACCCATTTGACTGGTAAAAGGTCCCTGTTGGGTGATCTTGCTTCCACAAAAAACCATGACTAATAATCGTACATATTCACATGGCCTTAACATTTCACTGATGCAACTCATTCATGTATCTCCTATGTCCCCACCCCCCTTACAATTCAAGCGTTGAGCTACTTTCCACCAAGGCAAAGCTTCTAATTCATAAGGACTGGTAATTTCAAGACAAATGAAAAGGCTTTTTCCGTGGTGGTAAAAAAAAAACAAGCAAACAAACAAACAAAACAAAACCATGCAATCTTATTGGTAGGGTAGACTTCATCTTTTTCTGTCAATGGTCAAAAATCTGCCTGGTTAGACTGAACCGAATAAGGCCTTTCAATTTGGCTCCTGACTGCAATTTCCAAAAACTTTTGCCTCAATAGAAAGTACTCAAGATTAATACTTTTCTTGTAACACTGCAGCTCTCTCCTCAAAGAAATGTCTAGTGGCCTGATCTGGAGTATAAATCAGTTCAGTAATGTAGAGTGTTTCAATAATACTGCGCATCATCGTGACTTGTTACCACGGATGATATTCCTCTTATGTTGGTTGATCGAGCTATATAGTTTAGTCATGTCCAGGTTCTTAAAGGGATCCCGCTCAAAGTTTGTAAAGTGCTGATACCTTCGGTTAGGTGAAAATGTAAACACATCAGATTCCAAAGCTCGTTTGACAAGTTCATCCAGATCTCTTTCAGTTGAACTGCTAGTGTGCTGCCCAGAACTACGTATACGTTTAATGTCTTGATCAACAACACCTGACATTTCTGTTGTCCCATTTTCAGAATGCGAAATTCGCTCAACTGCTTTGTCTGTCACATTTGGGCCTAGATTTTTTACGGCCCCTTTATTGAATAAGTTGCTGTGCCCCACTTCTAAATCATGTGGAATGTTACTTCCTCTCCCTCCTCTGTTGTTGACAGATCGGTTCCAAACAAACCGTTCACGGTCTCGTGGAGATAACAGTGAGTCGGCACAAAAGGACTGGAACAAACACTCCAGCGCATATTTGTTGCTGCTATGGCCATCTGCTCGGCAATACAGCAACATATAGCGGTACTGACGCATTAATCTTATACCGTCTCCTTCCTTACCTGCATCCAAGAAATTAAGAAAGAATAAGCCGTCTGCCAATAGGGCACAGTTGTAACTGAATACATCATCACCACTTTCATCAGTTGTACTTTGACCATTGGAAATCACTGCTTCACTAGAATCATTAGCTATACATGCTTCATCTGAAGTGAGAGGTTGAGGATTGTGTGATGCTTCATGTCTTCTCCTACTGGCACCATCATATCTGAAGGGGAACTCACAACCAGGGAACCTGCATGGAAATCGTCCATTTGCTGTTCGGGGCTGTTCATCAGCAGTACCTTGTCTTTGTTGCACAGTCAAGATCTGATCAAGAAGCTTATTAACTGACTTGTCATCAAAAACAAACTTGTCCACAATCAGTGCTGCAGCATTATGCAAGTACTGCAGTTTGCTAAGTTTACTTTGTTTGTGCAAATTATCAGGTAAGGTAAACTTGCTTGGTTGGCTGCATTTCCCAGTAAAACCAAGTTGTAACATTGCTGCGGCAATGACTCTTGATTTGATCACAATTTCCAGAAAATCTCTGTCTGGGCGATAGGCACTTTGAGGTTCTGCTTTCACGTTACGGCGGTTGATGAGCGTACGATCAGAGTACAAGGTACAGCAGTCTCCCTCTGACTTTCCTGTAAAGAACCTTTTGAAGACAAGCTATGAATAGAAATAGAAAATGAGCAAACATTTTAAAAGCAGATAATGTTGTACATTTCATAACATGGCAGGTGTTTCATATGTTGTTTAATTTTAAGTTGCAGAATTGTCATAGCATTCCTTTTAATTGTCTTAAAACTGATTTGGAAATTTTTAACCAGTATTATATTTTAACAAAAACAAAAGCAAGTACATGCATAATCAGTGTAAGATACTACTGGCTTTGCACTGATACAGGCAGCAAAAAAAGGAATGCAATAATTATGTGATAGGCAGCATTTTAGCATTTTACCCTAATAAATAATGTACATGCGAACTGCAAGAGGTTTATGATGGTGTTGGTTACATTTTAAAGGAAATAGATGAAGTTTTAAGGCAGTAACAAAACCAACCAAGAAACAAATAAAATTTTCTATAGTTATCTTCAAAGCTTACAGACAAAATTTTCACTCCTGCGTGCCAGTCTCCAATTTGGAAGTTCATTCCCTCCAGGCGATCTTCTGGGGTGTGGCCATTGGCAACTGATGCGGTGACATTCACTGTGCGTTCTACTGTCAGTTGATCTCCACAAAATAGTTGTGGGTCAACTGATTCATGGCCGTCACTTGGGAGGTAGGTGTAAAACTGCTGCAGGATTTCTAGCATATCTTCGTTTGCGTTTTCATTTTTAAATATTATTCCAAGTGGAACCTTTGAAAGAGAAGCGAGTTCAGAATTTAATACAAAAAAATTACAGGGTCAGTAGGGGAAGCACATAATACCGTATTTATTCGATTAACCGCCCTTATTAAATTTTTGGACCTTTACGGTGGGGTGGGTGGGCACTTATTCGAAGCTGGGTACTTATTAACTTTTTCTGCCTTTAGGATGGGCGCTTCTTTCAGGTGGGCGCTAATTCGAGGTTGGGCGCTTATTCGAATAAATACGGTAGTTGATAATAATTATTGTTACACTTACAAAAAAAACTGTCCACCCTCCATTTTCTGCATAAACAATTGGGGCCCTTGGGTTAAAAATTAATTCCATTGGTACTTAGGGTTGGGGGGTCCTTCTGATGGTCTTCTGTATGTGAAGGCTAAACCTAAAAGGGGTACTACTTCATTCCCCTGGTACCACTATAAGTTAGGGTAAGGATTATTAGCCGCCAATAAATAGTTTCTGTATTCTAAAGTAGGTAGGCGAAGGGATACCTTTTCAAATAAAAATGGTACAGAAAAGAGTAATTGGTTACATATGCCAGTTGGCAAGCTAAGTTCAGTTTGAAATTCCACAAAAATTATTAGAAAAATTAATACACACTCTACCTACCACACTTTCTTAAAGTGTTTTGGCCTCACCAAAGGTTTTCCAATGACCCAACTAATTTGGGTAAAGTGTGGATTTTTCCAATGGAACTTTTGAAATTTGCAGAATGTATCCAGTCTCAAATGTACACAATTTATCGCAATTAAATCTCATAAAAACCAAATGGATCTATATTAATTAGGTATTTGAAACGGGTATGTACTATGAACACTAGCACAAAAATTATAATTCAACAAGGATAAACATGAAATTGATTTCACAGTTCTTAAAGACATTAATAGTTATTTTTTAAATATTGTATTAAAAACCAACAACTTCGTATTTTCTGTTAGGGTGTTTCACTATAGGAATCAAAACCATTAATACCTTTGTGGATTTTTGTGACATCTCCTTGTTGTGTTTGTGAGGGATATGCTGAATACAGACATTCTTCAGAGGTTCAAAGGCCTCAAAGTGTTGAACAAGTATCCTTGAAACAAGAACGATGTAGTTGAATCTTCGTCGTTGGTGATCCGTTGCACTTGGAAGGAAACTGCTATTGGAGACTGTAGCCAAGCCACACTAAGGGCCATCATTAGGCAGGTCATTTCCAGAGACCCTGTTAATAAACATTTTGTGGTTGACCCAGTGTATGTCACGATTTTGCTTTGACATTGTCATGTTCTTTCTGCTGATCATGGCCTGGTATTCTTCTGAAAGAACTTTCTCCACTACTTTACTTGGGTAGTTGATGGTCAGTTTCACCGTCGTAGTTGTGCTTATAGCATCGTTTGGTTTCGCCTTTGCTGCAGGAGTTGACGTTAACGGTGGAACAAAAAAATTTAAAACAGAAAATGATCCTCCTGGCATCGGGCCATATGTATTATCAAGAAGTGAAGAAGTACAAGTGGTAGGTGTTTTTGCGGCGCTGTTTACACCAATTCCAGCGCTCGTTTCAACCAGAGTTCTCGATTGAGGTACAACTGGAGTGACAAAGACCGGGGGCAAATTGAAGCTCAATGACTTAGCGGCACTTTTAGCACCACTGCCAGCGCTCTTTTCCGCCAAAAAGGTCTGTGTTGACTTTGATGGTTCACACGCTGCGATAATCTCCGATGTTAAATCTCTCCTTAATCGCTTGCTTCTTAAGCCTCCTTTCTCAAAGTCGCTTCTAATTTCATTTTTTATCATCTGAAAGTTTTCGGTGATTTTTTCGAAACGTTTGAGTCGTCTCAGGCAGGTAGCTGTGCAAATAAATAACTCACTTGATGAATACACAGACACATCAACGTCCAGAGCGCGTTTGATGAGCCCTGCAATGTCGACTGCGCTTTTTCCAAACACACGACCTCGGTCCTTTCCTAAATTACAGCCGCAAAGAAAACAAAAAAATTCGCTTCTCACAACTTTCTTTGGAGTCTGATCCATGCATAGGCATGGAATGAGAATATGGAATCACTTAAGCCGTATTTTACGGTCGAATAAATATTCCTGTCGAGCGATCTCTTTTCGCGGGAAATAATTCGCACCAGGTGCCGTTCCCGTTATATCACAGCCCGTGATTAGCTAATCATGACACAATGACTAACCGCTAATTGGCTTATTCAAACAATCCAGAACATAAATGTCGGCTCTGTTTAGCAGACGTCCGTGGGGGAGAAATGAATGCGTGACAAACGAACCCCAAAGGACGTCTGCGGGGAGGCTACTTTGACCTCAGAATAGCAGACCTCGAAAACGTAGTCTGTGTATTACTCGAAAAACCTCAGGAATCTTGGCACTGCTCCTTTGTAAAACATTTTGTTAGTGTTTTTTCCCTGGTCATGTCAGCCATTGTGTTACGAATTTGCTGGGCTTATGAGTCACGTGAGAACACAAACTTCAGTTTCAACAGTTGTCTTCAACGCTTCGTATTTATTATTTTGAAGCCCGACAGGGCTACCTTCGCAATTTCTTTAGTTTTCGACCGGCCCATGTCGCAGACAATGACTTATTTTTCAGGGGATTTGGTTTTGCTTTTGATGGGAGCCTGCGAAGCAAAAGACAACATTTCCGGTGGCATGTGCATTTATCAAAGTCCCTATGGCGTCAGCAAAAATTTTCTCTATAATGCCTCAACATCATAAAAATAGTATTCTGAAGCTGGTGGTAGGTAGGTTGTTGTACTTGGTTTTAGGTCATTTTATTTTTGTAGTATTTACATTCACCAGATCTGTCATTTTTCCTGCAAATGTAATTGAAAACAGATCTGTCATGTCTTCACGTACTGGTCCATTTGATCGCAGTGAGAGATGCTCATTGTGAATGAAACCGCTCTGTACCAGAGGTTTTTTCTCACGGTCGCTCGTGCTGGCGGCATTAAATGTTTGGAGGACCATCAACAACTGTTTATACCAAACAAAATATGGTTGCTATTTAGTTTTGCTCACTCGAGTTAAAATAAATGTGTGGCTGGCCTCCCGTAGTACATACAACAAGAGGAGTTGCTAACAATCAACACGAACGTCCCAAACGTAGTTTATTCACAGGTCCTCGGTACAACACATTCTTTTTACTCCTTAGTTCTTGGATCCTGAGTCCCGAGATAACAATCTGACATGACAAATACATGATAGGCTAAATACGTGATTCGTAAGTACTAAACTTCAAAATGTCGTGTGAAATACTCTCTTGGGATTTTCCGTAAAATGTTCTTTTAACAGTTCTTACCGTTTAGGCCGTATAATGTCCGATGGATGGCGATAACTATCCAAAAACTTGAACAACACGAGAAAGGGCTAACATGGCGGCCGCTTACTAAAATCTGGTGCGGCTGCTAAGCTTTTACAAAATACCGCTGACTGCGCAGCGCTGCAGTCACCTGGCTCCCCTAATTGTTGCCTAACAATTACTTAAGTTAATGTCCATACTAGACAGTTAAACAAAACAAATGTTCATAAAGGCGGTCACTTGTGTCTTCTACACCTGTCGGGCGACTTCACTGAGTAGTTGGCTCCTCGTTGGGGAATTCCTCGGTCTCCCTGCTGCTATCACCAACATCCGCTTCATCTGCAGAGGGTACCAGTAAGACTAATTTGTGGATTGGTCTATCCAGGAACGTAGATGGCTTTCGGACGTCTGCCTTGGTTGTCAAGTTCTCCATCAGCTTTCACAATTTTGACTTTTCTGACACATCCGTCTTCGCTAGGGTAGACTTCTACGACTCTAGCGAGTGGCCATTGGTTACGTGGTCCTTCGTCTTCCTTGGATACGATTACATCTCCAACTGATAGATTTCGCTTTGGATACATCCACTTGTTACGAGCCTGCAGGCTATGAAGAAACTCACGGCGCCATCTAAGCCAAAATTCGTTCGCGAGATATTGTACTCGGCGCCACCACTTTATGGAATATAGATCTGCTCGCTGGAACCTTCCAGGCGGTGGAAGTACAACTTTAGCTTTCAAGGTAAGTAAATGACTGGGCGTAAGTGGTTCTGGTGCCTCTGGGTCATTTAAGTCGTTCGAGACAAGGGTCTGGAATTAACAATACACTCTGCTTCAGTCATGAAGGTTCTGAACGCCGTCGTCCAACTGTGTGCCAGCGCTCAGAAGTAACGTCTCCAGTGCACTACGAACAGTTCGGATTAACCTTTCCCATGTGCCACCCATGTGGCTGGCATGAGGTACATTCATCTGAAATGGTATCCAATCACATCCGTTCTCCACTAAGTACTCTTGCACCCGGTTCTGATCCAGTTCTTCTAAGGCAGCTTTTAGCTCATTCTTCGCTCCTACAAAGTTTGTACCCTGATCACAGCGGAGCTGTCTGACTGGACCGCCGGTTGAGGAAGCGACTAAGTGCGTTGATGAAGGAACTGGTACTTAACGAGTTGGCTGTCTCCAAGTGAACACCTCTGCTGGCCATACAGGTAAAAATAACTCCGTAACGTTTAACTTCACTCCTCTTTTCCTTGATGGGGAAAGGTCCAAAGAAATCTACAGCACAATACGAGAAGGGGGCGAAGGTTCAACTCGATCCACAGGCAAATCGGCCATCTTCTGAATTTGCAGGGGCCGCGCATTTTTCTGCATGTAACACACTTGGAAATACAATTTGACACTGCTGACGATCCACCAACAACCCAGTAGCCTCTCTGGCGCAACTCATTTTGGGTGATACCTCGTCCCATGTGGTTCACTTTGGCATGCCAGAATCGAATCAGCAAATCTGTAATATGACTTTTACGAGGAAGTATCACAGGATGCTTCGTTGCAAATGGAAGGTTAGCTCGTCTCACGCGGCCACCAACGCGGATAACACCGTTCTCATCGAGAAATGGATCCAAACGATATAAGCAACTAGACTTCTTGACGGCTAGATTTCTTTCTCTTGCGATCTTTCTAGTAGTAAGCTCTCCAACTTCCTTAAGTTCCTTTAAAACTTGCATCTCGTCATGGAAATGTTCACGTTGAACAACCTTAAGAACTTCCCTCTCTGCTGCGTGAAGTTCTGTAAGTGTGACTGATACCTTCGGTAATGGTCTGATGCTCTCACCACCCGTTTGTCTCGTCAACTTCACTTCTCTACTTGCCAGTTTGCTCTTCAGTCGTAGACACAAAGCTATTGCCTTCAGCACATGCTGCCAGCTTGACATGTGGCGCAAACGGCTTGACGTTAACGGTTCAGGGGCTTGAGTAGCTCTGCTCTCTACACGAGATGTGAAAACGGCTGCTTTCCTTACTTCAGGATCACTTTCGGTCACTTGAAATTCTTCTATCTTCTCAGGCAGGAAAGTTCCACTCTTCCAAAGAAATAAGGGTCCAGTTAGCCAGTTGGTTCCTTGTAATAACTGTGACGCTGTAAGGCCTCGCGAGGCATGGTCAGCAGGATTAAGTTCAGTGCTGACGACAACCAAGAACTCGGGTTAGTGGCGTCACGAATCTGCTGCACACGATTTGCCACATACACATGAAACCTCTTAGCTTCGTTGTTAACATAACCAAGGACGATTTTGCTGTCTGTCCAGAAATGTTCCTTAATGTCCGTGTAAGACAATTCTCGACGAAGAAATTCACTCACGTTTGCTGAAACAGTAGCTGCAGCCAATTCTAGCCTCGGCACAGTGATTTGCTTTAACGGGCCACTCTAGATTTCCCAATGACAAGGGAACAGTACGCCTTGTCCTCCACATTGATTAGTCGAAGGTACGAGCACTGTCCATAACCCTCTACACTAGCATCTGAGAAATGATGCAACTCGCTGGCTTTGACCTGCCCAAAGTTCTCCGGCTTAAAACAACGTTGAATTTGCAGCTGATCGAGATTCAGAACATCCTGACGCCATTTCTCCCAATGAGTATACAAACTCTCTGGAATTGGGCTGTCCCAATCAAGCTTGTCTCGGCACATTTGCTGCAAAACTTGTTTTCCTTTCAAGGTAACTGGGGCAACGAAACCACTAGGATCGTAGATTGAACTGATTGTGGAAAGTACGCCACGTCGCGTTGGGGACGGTCACACAGCTCGATGCGGAATTGAAAACTGTCATTCTCAATGCACCACACTACTCCTAAGGCACGTTCTAAGGGCAGTGGATCAACCTTCAAGTCTAGCTCCTTTAATCCTTTGGCGCGATCTTCGGCCGGAATCTGTTCAAGAACTTCTCTTTTGTTTGATGAAATTTTGTGCAGTCTCAGGCGGCCTTGGCGCAAATGCCTTGACTTGCTTTTTATCAGTGTAACAGCTCGCTCCACGGTAGGGACTGATTTTAGTCCATCATCCACATAAAAGTCCTGTCGTATAAACTCAGCAGCTTCTTCACCAAACTCTTTCTCCCATCATCTGCTGCTCTCTTTAGACCAAAATTTGCGCAGCCAGGTGAACTACCAGCACCGAAAAGATGAACCTTCATCCTATACTCAGTCACTTCATTTGCAGGATTCCCATCCTTCCACCACAAAAAGCGCAGGAGATCTCTGTGTTCCTCTGACACCATAAACTGATGAAACATACTCTTAATGTCAGTCATAAACGCAACATTTTCTTGTCTGAATCTGCACAGGATCCCCAGAAGAGTGTTCATGAGGTCGGGTCCTTGTAACAAGTGATCGTTCAGGGACACCCCTTCATACTGGGCGAACAATCAAAAACAACCCTGATCTGGTCTGGTTTTTTGGGTGGTAAACACCGGTGTGTGGTGCATAGTTAACCATTCCATCCTGAACTCCATGGCGGTCCGGTGGTACCTCTTCTGCACACAAAGCAATCACATCTTTCATGAATAGCGATAATCTTCCAGAAACTTGGGGTTTCTCTTAAACCTTGCTAAAAGTTGGTGCCATCTCTTGACAGCTAGTTCGCGGTTGAAGGGTAGAGACGGTTTGTCTGTCTTCAAAGGAGAGGCATCTCGTAGTGCCCATCCGATCTCTTCACAATACCATTCTCAAGGATGTTGAGGAATCTCCTGTCTTCAGCTGAACAGGGCTTGGTATTTGCAGAACTTTCTGTAAAGTCTGACTCAAGAATCTTAATAATCTTCTGTGGGTTGATAATCTCTTTCACCTTTGTCGTAAAGGCAAAGTGTTCATGGGTTTCTTTGACCATCACCTTGTTGCACACTCCTTCCTTATGGTTGGCTTCACCTGTAGATTTGCACACCTTGCCGATTATACCCCACCCCATTAAAGATCTTTGGCCGTAAGGGTCGTCTTCACCTCCCACTAGGACTTCTCTGGGTCTGACGATACTAGGGCAATTATTGCCAATCAGCAAGGAGATTTCCACACTTGGATTGTAGGGCATGAGCTCGTCAGCAATAGGACACAGATGTTCCCATTTCCGGGCAACACTGGCTTTTGGAATCTGCGACCGACTGGCTGGGATGATATCTCGCTTGAACATCATGGGTAGCTTCACAGCATGCTCCCTTCTAAAATCCAACACCTCAACTCCACAAATACGGTTGCTTGGTACATGTACATTTCTCTCTTGCACTGTTGTCAGCAGCAAGTCGGTTGGTGGGCCTTGCAAGTCCAATTTTTCACACAAGCTTTGCGACACAAAACTCACATTGGACTGGTCATCTAGCACTGCATATTGTAAGACTTCTTTACTGGGTTGGCTAACTTGTCTAACCCAAACAGGTACAATCATGGCATGATCCGAGCCGCCCTCTTGCTCTGGGATGGTACAAACATTTGTACAGTTCGTAATACTTTCCTTGGGAGTTTTCTGAATATGGAGACATGTAGGGTGATTTCCAGAACACGTGCGACATTTAAGTCTGTTCTTACAGGAGGATACTTGATGTTGACTGCTAGAGGCACATCAAGACAAAGAAATTTCTTATAGAAGAAGTCCTTCCTTTCCTTGTGCGGCTTCTCTGCAAACTTTTTACACTCGTCTAGCTGATGTTCTTCCTTGCAAAACAGACATACTTCGGTCTTTTTTCTTCTCGCTCCTCCCCCTTGCGAACAGGTTGGGGGTCTCTCCTTTTCACCTTGACCCTGGGCAGTCACGTTCTTGCTTGGATCCAATACATGAGTTTCGAAGGAAAAGGCCTCCTCGCCTTTTGGTGAGCGTCTGAATGGTCCTCTAGGCCTAACAAACTCTTTGGTTTTGGACAGCTCCTCAAGTTCGGGAATGTTCGCTCTCTCTGCACACTCTTTCACAAATGAAGCAAATTCAGAGAAGGTAGGGTAAGTACCATTTCCTTTTGAGACTCTACACTGTTGTACTATTCCTCTCCACTTATTCTGAATTTGAAATGGCAACTTGTTTAGAGTTTTAACGTTCTCCTTCGCAAAGTCTAAGACAGCAAGACTAGGAGTAGTTTCTCTGGCGGCAATTATCTTTTGCAGGAAGTCAGAAAGATCTCTTAGGGCCTCCCATCTCTTACGCCAATCTTAGGCCAGTTCTCCAGTTTGTTCATAAAGGCTGTCCCTACTACATTGCAGTTACCATACCTTTCCTTTAACAACTTTCTCGCAGACTGATAGGCATCTTCAGTACCAATTAACATATACTGATCAACAACTTGTTTGGGCTTTCCTGAGATGTACTGATGTAGGAAGTTCAATTTTGTCTGGCGTCCATTGGTTTGGAATCAATAAGGGCACTGAAGGAACTGTTCCATGTAGGATACTCCAAAGGATCTCCACTAAAAACTGGGATTGAAATCTTAGGCAGTTGCCCTGAGATTGCTAGTTGCCTGTTCACTAGGTTCTGCTCCATAGTAGCTGCCACCAACATACTACTTGTTTCCACTAATTTGTCCATACACTTTTCTAAGACGACAGAGTGTGGTTGAAAGGGTGTGGCACTGGGGCTTAACGTACTGTGCACTCCATTTTCTACACGCGGAAGACTGAAAGTGGGTTGGGCTCCATTTAACTGAGTTGAAGAGTAGATAGGTTCTTGCTGACCAGGAGAGAGATCACTCTTACTTGTGACTGGAATTGAATTAAGGAATTTGTCCATGTCCTTGACTTTATCAGCGGGGGGAATCGAGTTTAGATCCTGATCATCAAACAGTTCTACTTTATCTGCTGACATGCATACATTAAGCTTTGCTTGATTCTGAGCAAGTTCACTTTGTAATCTTAGCTCTTCCAACTTTCTTTCTTGTTCTAATTTGGTCAACTCAGTCTTTCTGTGTTCTAATCTCAGTAACCGTTCCTTCTCTATATAGGCCAGTTTAGCCTTTAAGGCAGCTTCCTCCTTTTGTAACTGAAACCTATCTTCTTCAACATTATCATTGGAACTTATTTTTGACCTACTACTTTTCTTGGATGCTCGACTGGACCTTTTGGATGCTTCAGAGATTGAATCATCCACGTGGTGTTCGACAAATTCCAGAAACTTTATCTCTGATCTAATGTCACACTCAAAATTTGACCATTCTCTGCCAACTTGATCAACCATCCTTTCAATATTTTCCACATTCTCATCTGGGTTTGCAAAAACCTTAATCTCTTCAACCATGTCTTGAAATTCGCAATACAAAATCTGAGCTTCGCTGAATTCTTTCTTAAATTCTACTAGTTTAGTTGACTGACCTCGCTTCAGTAGAGTACCTCTCATTCGCTTCACCAGTTCACATTTCTTAGTTTTCAAGTTACTTGTTTTCAAGTTGAGTTGATACGTATACCCTTTCTCCGTCAGGAAACGCTTCCTTGATTCATCAGTTTCTTCTTCCAGCGCCACATTGACCTGGTCTTGGGTCTTGCTTCTTTGTTGACGGACATGACTGCTACGAAGATCGTCTAACGATTGTTATTGTGGCTGGCCTCCCGTAGTACATACAACAAGAGGAGTTGCTAACAATCAACACGAACGTCCCAAACGTAGTTTATTCACAGGTCCTCGGTACAACACATTCTTTTTACTCCTTAGTTCTTGGATCCTGAGTCCCGAGATAACAATCTGACATGACAAATACATGATAGGCTAAATACGTGATTCGTAAGTACTAAACTTCAAAATGTCGTGTGAAATACTCTCTTGGGATTTTCCGTAAAATGTTCTTTTAACAGTTCTTACCGTTTAGGCCGTATAATGTCCGATGGATGGCGATAACTATCCAAAAACTTGAACAACACGAGAAAGGGCTAACATGGCGGCCGCTTACTAAAATCTGGTGCGGCTGCTAAGCTTTTACAACATACCGCTGACTGCGCAGCGCTGCAGTCACAAAATGTGCTGTGGCTATATGGGCAGTAACCGGTCAAGGTTTCAAAAACAGTAAATGACCGGAAGTCTGATATTTTTTGTAAATTTTATGAAATCGAAGAGTTCTAGCTAATTCAAACCATTGTATGTTGATTAGGAAATGTCAAGCGATCCTGAAATGATTTATAGATGTGAAGTCCAGCGCTTGGCTTATGCTGGGCTCCGAATACGAAACCATGTTTTGTGACACGAATTTTTTCAGGTTGACTGCCGGTCAACGTGTTAAAAACACTAAATGACCAGCAGTCCAATATTTTTTAAAAAAATTATCAAATCGAAGAATTCCAGTCAGTTTAACCTGTCAAAGATCAACCATCACAGCAACCGGTTTTGTAGGATTTCTCCACCATTTCTACCGTTGTAGTGTCTTAGTCATGAGTCGAGAGATGTTTGTGACAATGTCATGCAAAGTAAGGTGTGACAAGTGTCGTAAAACATAGTTTCGTTCTCCGGGACTAGCATAAACAAAGTGCTGGACTTGAGATCCTATAAAATTAAATCATTTCAGGATTGCTTGACATTTTGTAATCTACATACGATGGTTTGGATTAGCTGGAATTCTTTGATTTGATAATTTTTTAAAAAATCATCGCACTGGGGTCATTTAGTGCTTTTAACACGAAGATTAGGTTTCACCCAGTTTAGGTTAGGAAACAATTGAAAGAGATTAATTTCAAAAGCGATCAATTCACTCCAGGGTTTAAGGAGAGGGTATTCCCTATTTTTTAGTTTTATATCGATCCCCTTCCCCGTTTCCAGGCCGTGTTCAGATGCATTGTAGTATTAAATATCCTAGACTAGACACTTGCCCAATCTCAGACCTTTTCAATACTCTGTACTTGGTGAAAAAGACAGATTTTTTGGAAAAGCAGTTATTCTGTTAAATCTCACCTTAGGATTGTAACGATTCTGATCTGATAGTAAGCCACAGCTTCCTGTCGATGTCCCATCCTGTTCTCGGTAAGTGACTATAATTATTATGGGAACTGGTCTATCGCTTCCCTTCAGTATTCGTTTACAGTGAAACGCCGATTTTACGATTGTCAATGTAACAATATTTCTGAACATTCTGTGCCCCGGCCAAAGTTACAATTTGGCAGCAACATGTAAATGTGCAGAAGTGCTTATCGAGAAGCGCAAGATTTAAAGGGAAATTCTCAAGTCGGACAGCTTTTTCCTGTTAGATAAAAGCAGGGGCACCCACCGATTATTTTCGGTAAAAATCAGTTTAGAAGCAAGTTGAGCCAGACTTTTTGAATAATCGAACACACAGGCCCTCGCATTTTCGAATCGTGTATCTGAATAGATTTTCAGCCCCTAAAACACCACCTAAAGACTCGCAACAAGGCAAAAGTAGTCCCTTACGTTTTCGGAAATGAGATATTTGCAATTTTTGGCTCTCAAAAAGGACACCTAGCAATTTCGGAAGAGCAAATGATTCGTTTGGGAAGTTTCTAGAATGTGCTGTCCAGCTAGCAATTTCTGAAATGAAGACATCATTCCCTAAATATTTTAGCTAAGATATCCGAACAGATCAAATTCGTCCAAGTGATAAAAACATCTCTTTAGATAGTCTTTAAACATTACAAGGAGCCTAGAAATGTTTCTTGTAGGCTCTTGGCTCGAACTGCTCGTTAGGTGCCACTGATAAAAAAGGTATAATCAAACCTGGTTTTGAAATAGAATATATTGTCGATCTTTACATAGCGAGAGAGAAGAAACAAAGCCGACAATGAACAATGAAAATACTAAAAATGGTGTGGAAGGTGATCACCAGAGTTGGATCAACATTCTACAAAATCCGGAAGATTTCAACGTAAAACAGAAACCCTCTGGAATACGCGAAAATAAAATGTTCACTCTGGATATGAGAGAAATTACAATATCATCCGCCAAAGCTGATGACAATGGAGCATATATTTCCAAAGGAAATGGCGTATGGTATGTCAATATACGAGACTAAAAATTAGAGGAAAGAAATCGGTCCAGCAAACGAAATATATGAGTTAAAACAGGAGTAGCACACAAGTAAGAGCAATCCTAAGTTCTCCCGAGCTATCACCACAGTTAAAGGTTATGCTGAAAAAGAACCAAGGCCCTTTTATGTTGTCACGTACAAATGGGCAGATGGGGTGGATCAACGCTTCGACCTTCCTCGGCATGGGAATGCTACCAAACCAACCAGCCGCCAATACTACAGGAAAGATCCCACTCTTTTTTTAAAGGTCGATAATCTAATCGGTAAGGGATTATCAACGGATCAAGTTTATGACTCCATTGCCAGAGCTGGAGCTAGTACGGTTAGTGAAGCTATACCTGGTCCCAAGTTAATTGACAACAGAAAGCTGTTATCAAAGAAAGAAACTTAACCTTGACTAGTTCCAGTAGCAACAAACAATTCAAAAGTGAAGCAGAGGAGATGATTTCCTGCCTACAATCGGTTCCTTTCCTCCAAAGTGCAACTTTCACCAAAGAAAGTTATGTTCTTTCAACAGTCTCTCCAACATGATCAATGACTTCTACCGCTTCTGCATAAATGGGAATTCGGTACTCCGAGTAGACACTACATGTGAACTTGTTGAAGGGCTCTGGCTCACTGACACGACGTACACAAACGAACCCTAATTGATTTAAAGGGGAAAAATCCGGAGTTCCCTGGGCCAAGCTTTTGGCATTTTCGTAAGACCAGAGAATGCTATCAAAGATTTGCAGGCGAGATTGTCATTAAGAAGCCAGAGCGGCTCAAAATTAAAAAGATCGGCCATGACTTAGATAAAGCCTTATCTCAAGGACTGTGTGACGTTTTCAACGAAGCTAAAAGGGTCTGGTGCACTCAACACACGCAAGAGCGTGATGTCCACAAGCTCAAAACTATTGGGTGTACCCAGCGTTCCCAGTCAAGGGTGATGTCTGATATATACGGGACGCAAGATGCAGTTCTTTTACAGAATGGTTTAGCAGACAAGGACGAATGCGATTTTGATGCTAAACTGGAAAGCTTGAAGCCGGTATGGGAAGAAATAGCCCCAGGTTTCCACCATTGGTTCAAAAGCAATAGATCTAAGCTGTTCAAGATTGCCTCGTTCTTTCTGCCAGAGAAAATCTCGGCATTGAAGGCAGATTTTACACGAACGGCCTCAAATTAAAACACAAGCTTCAGAAGAAGAGAATGGCCGAAGAGGACGTCCCGAAAGAGATCGCAGCCGCTACTGCCCAGTTGTTCACATGGGCAGAGGAGTTTTACTTGGAAGAAGAGAGGGCAATACAAGGCCTCGGGAAGTACCGTCTTGCTCCCGGCTATGACCATTGTCAAGTCGATGACGTGAAGTGGAACAGATGGGGCCCAGCAAGGCAGGCACTGTAATGTATTAAGCCGCTAAGTATGCTGGGATAGAAAAACCATGTACTTTTTGATAGCGGCAGCCATGTTACGTTTGCAATGAAATTGGTTGAGTTAAATCTGTTTGTTTGGTTACTTATTACTCTTGGGATCACTAAATTGGCGACGAGGACAAAGAAATGGAAAAGAACGTCTTACCGAAGTTTGATTGTTTCTCTGATCCAGGGACGATTGGCCCTCAATGGAAAAGGTGGCTAACTTCATTCGAACTGTACGCCGACGGGAAAGGACTTATTATAAGCGAAGGAACCACAGCAGCAACTAAACAGAGGTGAAGAGCAATGTTACTCCACCTGGCTGGGCCTGATGTAGAGAAGATATTTACCACCTTCAATTCACTGAAACCGGGGATGCTACAAATTACGCCAGTGCTGTTGAAGCTCTCAACGCCTATTTCATGCCACAGGTAAATTCAGCGTTCGCCCGCCAGACCTTTCATCGGATCACGCAAAACCCAGGTGAGACAGTTCAATAGTTTGTCACTTGCTTAAGGAAAGCAGCTAAAGATTGTGATTTTGGCACTGATACCGACAACCAGATAAGAGATGCAGTTTTGAATAAGTGTACTTCCACTTACATCAAACGAAAATTGCTTGAAGAAGGCCAAGGACTGAACTTAACACGCACCCTAGAGGTTGCAGCAAAATGCGACAAGATAGAAACCCAACTGGCTGCCCTTTCAGTAAAGGGCGAAGAATCAGAAAGTATCAATAGAATCAATGAGAGAAGTAACAATCCGAGTACTAGCACACAAGGGCGATTCCAAGGGAGAGATAAGATATGTTATAGATGTGGTTTATTGGGACATTTCGGTCGTGATCCCCAGTGCCCAGCAAGAGGCAAAACATGTAGAAAGTGTCGCGGGAAAGATCATTGTGAAAAAGTTTGCAAGACAAAGTCATATGCTCGTCAGGTTGGGAGGGAACCCGATGACAATGACCCTGGACCCCAGCATGACTATGCATTCAGTATTACAGAAGGAGAACACTCAGAAATGGTCACCGTACAAGTAGGAGGAGTAGACTTTAAGATGTTAATAGACTCTGGGGCAAACAGCAACATTATTGACGAGGGGACGTGGGAACATCTAAAGGTGAAGGGAGTGAAATGTGAATCACAAGCTGCTAATCCAGGCACGAAGCTGTACCCATATGCGTCTAGTCAACCACTACCAGTTAAGGGTAGTTTAAAGTGTACAGTGAGTGTTTGTGATAGATCCACCAAAGCTGAGGTCTTGGTAATTAAAGGTAGAGGGATGTCCCTGCTTGGAAAGATAGCCACAGAAATGAGAGTGTTAAAAGTTAGCCTTAACATTGCTATGGTAACAAGTAAAGCTGACAGTTTAAAACAGCAGTACCCAGAGGTATTTGAGGGTGTCGGAAAATTGAAAAACAAACAGATATCCCTGAATATAGACCCACTGTAAAACCTATTGCACAGCCTTATAGAAGGATACTATGTAATCTGAGAGGAAATATCCGAGATAAGACCACAGAACTGTTGGACATGGGAATAACTGAACCAGTGGAGGGCCCAGCCCCCTGGGTCAACCCTGTGGTGATCGTCCCAAAGAACAATGCGCAAATCCGCCTATGTTTGGACATGAGACAGGCAAACCAAGCAATCATGTGAAGACGATATCCAATTCCCACAGTTGACGAGGTGTTACATACCATGAATGGTTCTAAGGTCTTCAGTAAATTAGACCTCAAATGGGGGTACCACCAGTTGGAGTTGAGTCCAGAATCTAGGGAAATCACAACCTTTGCTACACCTGATGGTTTGTTTCGATGTAAGCGCTTGCTCTCTGGCGTCTGTCCAGCCAGTGAACAATATCAGCATGAAACTGCTTCAGCCCTGGCAGGTACTGAAGGTGTCGAAAACATTTTGGATGACATTGTTGTGCATGGTCCCAACACAGAAACACACAACAGGCGACTCCACCAAACTATAGAGCGTCTGCAAGAGTGCGGTCTCCGTTTAAATGCTGAGAAATGTTTGTTTAATACGGACAAGCTGGTGTTCATGGGTATGCTGCTTTCAGAGAAAGGCATTGGTCCTACAGCAGATCGTTTTAAAGCAGTATTAGAGGTGGAAGAACCAAAGAGTGTGTCAGATGTACGTAGCTTTCTTGGTTTAGCCAACTACAGTAGCCTGTTCATACCTCACTTTGCCACTTTATCCGAACCACTGCGAAGGCTGACAAGGAAAGATACACCCTTTGAATTTGGACCAGAGCAGAAGAAGTCCTTTGAATCTCTGAAACAGAAGATGGCAGAAGCTTGCCCTTTGGTATATTTCGATAAGAATGCACCCACCCAGATAATCACGGACGCCAGTGTCATGTCTATGTGTATGGGATGAAGTTTGTCATAGAGACCGACCACAAGCCTTTAGAGGTCATATATGGTCCACGATCAAGACCATGTGCACAGATAGAGCGATGGGTCCTCAGATTACAGCCATATGATTTCAGTGTGATACACAGGCCTGAGCACGAGAACATTGCTGATGCATTGTCGCGACTACGTCATAGGAGGGTTGAACCTGACAACCACCGGCGGTGTACTGAAGAATATGTTAGGTTTGTTGCTGTGAGTGCAACACCAACGGCCTTCACAACCCGTGAGATAGAAGAGGCCGCTGCTGATGATGAAGAGCTGAAAGAAGTGAGGAAAGCTATTGCAACGGGGCGGTTTAAAAAGTGTAGACAATATATGACAGTGGCAGGGGAGTTGTATGTCATTGGTCAGCTCGTGCTTAGAGGTACACGCATTATCATTCATCGTAAGCTGCAGCCAAGGACCTTAGCACTTGCTCTCGAAGGCCACTTGGGTGTGGTTGGCACCAAACAGAACCTCAGAACCAAGGTGTGGTGGCCAGGAATGGATAAAGCGGCTGAGAGACATTGCCGAGTATGCCATGGGTGTCAGCTGGTGGCATGGCCAGATCCCCCTGAACCTATTCGATCTACCTCATTACCAGAGGGACCATGGCAAGACTTAGCAGTAGATTTAATGGTACCACTACCATCCAGACATTCACTATTAGTCATTGTTGATTACTACAGCCGATGTTACAAAGTCGAGGTTATGCAGTCCACTACCTCTGTAAAGGTCATAGACCGTCTGGCTTATACCTTCTGCAGACATGGGCTACCAAATACCATCAAGTCAGACAATGGTCCACAATTTAAGTCGCATGAATTTAGAGAATATTGTGAACAGCATGGTATTATACATCAGAAAGTTACTGCCAAGTGGGCCCAAGCCAACGGAGAGGTCAAGAGACAGAATCAGTCACTGTTGAAACGATCACAAATTGCTCAGGCAGAGAACAAGCCATGGAGGGCAGAATTAAGAAAGTATCTCACGGCCTATAGAAGCATTCCCCATAATACGACTGGAAGGAGTCCTGCTGAGCTACTGTTTAACTGAAAAGTCTTGGGGAAGATCCCTGACTGAAGCATCGACCATGCTTATGACCATGAAGTACATGATCGTGACGCTGAACAGAAAGCTAAGAGTAAAGCTTATGAAGACATACACCACAGGGCCAGTCCCTCCAGCATTGAACTGGGTGATGAAGTTCTTGTCCAAGAAGACAAGACTAACAAACTCACCAGTGCATTCGACTGAAACCCCTTTAAGGTAGTCAGCAAGACCGGAAACAGCCTTGTAGTAGAGTCCAACAGGGAGCCAGTACTCCAGAAACACAAGTCATGTGAAGCAATACATTAGAGAAGGAGATCCCACACCCCAACAAGGGTCAGACTCTGAGTCAACACCCCCCACACCCCAGCAGGAATTAGACCCTGTGCCATCACCTTACCAACCAACCGTACCAGAATCGACTGCCGGGCTGTTGGATAGAGGGGAGTGCCCTGATCTGCAGGAGAATGTTGGAGCGGCACGAGAGCCATCAAGGAATTTGAGACCCCAGAGGACAAGGAGATTGTCAGAGAGATTAAGACACTATGTTGTTAATTTTCTTTGGGGAACATGAACACTGATTCTCTCTTCAGAACTATGTACAGTTTGAACATTTAAGAGGCTGTCTTAGTAAAAACCGCCCACTGAATTTCGTGGGAAAAATAATTTTGCCTGAAGCTCTGGTGAGTGAAAGGCTTTATCGAGACTATAATTAAAATAGATTTGCTTTGATTTACAATAATTTTCTTCGTGAATGAAAAATGTTTTCTCTGTATATGTTTCGCCGAATTATACTTCCTTTATTGATTGTTGGAAGTCTCTCTTGTAATTTTAATCGCGGTGCCGTTTGTTTTCAGTCGTTCAGTGAACATCGCTTGCAGGAGTACTCAAAATGCCGCGCGTATCAAACGCTTTTAAAGGTTACAGATCGATAAAACCATTAAATAAAAAATAACAGGGTTCGCACGCGCCTTGAAAGTCCTTGAAAGTCCTTGAATCTCAAAATAAAAATTCAAGGCCTTGAAAGTCCTTGAAAATTGTAGTCAGTGCTGGAAAGTCCTTGAAATTTGTAGCTAATTTAATCCAACTTAGATTCTAGAGTGCCTTATTTGAAAATATATGCCACTGGCACAAACGTAGCAACACATAATAGTAAGATACAAATAAAAAACGATCGTAACGCCACTCCGCACGTCGATCAATCGCCCATATCCATTTGTGCTGTTCTTGGTTCTATTAATCACTCTGATTGGTTGAAGGTCTCGAATGTCAAGGGCCAATCAAATGTTTTGTACTATTCCCTCTTTCTTAGAAAAGCCATGTGCTTTGAGTGCTTTCCGGATCCTTGTCTGGGTTAGTGTTGATTGTTTGCGTTTTGTTTCACGAGTGAGAGATTTAAAAAAATTGGAAAGTGTGTTTTCAGCAACTTGTGGCTTCAGAAATCACTGTATAAAGATTGGCTACGAGAAGTCAAGGGTGACAAGCACAAGGCACGATGCATCGTGTGTATGAAGGATGTTGACATTTCGAGCATGGGAGAGTCAGCGCTCACAAGTCACTTGAAAGGAAAAAAACATCAAACACTGACATCCCAGAAAAGGTCATTAGCAAGCGTTCCAGATTTTTTTGGGGTTTCTTCTCAACAACCAGCAACTACAAGTGACGATGCCAAAGAAGTTTCAAAATCCACTTCGTCTGAAAGTGGCAAACACAAGACGCTCAACCCCACAAAGTCTAGTACTGCGAGTTCATCTGGTTCATCGGTGATGGAAAGAATTGTCACTCGTGATGAGACGTTGAAAGCAGAAATTTTGTGGGCATTGAAGGTGATAATGTCTCATTACTCCTATAAATCATGCGAAGGTACGAGCAAATTGTTTCAAGCGATGTTTCCTGACAGTCGGATCGCGAGTCAGTTTACATGCGGAGAAAAGAAATGTGCATACTTGATCTGTTTTGGGCTCGCTCCACACTTCAAACAACTTTTGAAGGACGTTGTGAAAAAAGAAGAAGCTTATGTACTTATGTTTGACGAGAGCCTGAATAGCGTGTGCCAGTCAAAGCAAATGGATATTCACATTCGTTCATGGAATCATGACAAACACGAAGTTGAAAGTTGCTATTATACCTCAGTGTTTATGGGGCATGGAACAGCAGAGGACATGCTTTCTCATTTTCGTTCAGGCATAGAAGGAATTCCTCTCAAAAAAGTTTATCAGGTAGGATGCAACTCTCGTTATGTTTGGGTAATTTATATAAACATAACAAACGAAAGATAAACATGGTCATCTCTTCGCTGATGACATTACCTCCTAGGTTTCCTAATTATAAATACATGTACTGTTACTAGTGTGGTACAAATCGCCGTTACGTACGGAAAACAAATGTTTTGTGTAATGCCAAAAAGCGATAAAATTGTATTAAATAGAAATGAAACACCTTACTTAGTTTTCTGCCCTTTAAGGTCTAAATAATGAACACTCTTTCATTGCAAATCTTCACAATTCCAATGCATCCATGAGTAGTTCACTTCGTGTCTGGGTGGACAATGACACGAACTCTGGGACGTAATGCAAGTACTAAATTAAATAATCTGTTTCCCTTTCAATATTACAAGGAATGTTTTCTCTCATACTAGTTGTCAATGGATGGACCCAACGTTAATTGGAAATTTTACAGTATGCTGACTGATGAGGCAAAAAGGGAGCATAATAGTCACATGCTGAACATTGGCAGCTGTGGTTTACACATTCTTCATGGAGCATTCAAGGATGGTGCTGTGGCATCAGGATGGCAGTTAGACAGGTTGTTCTCTAGCCTTCACTGGCTTTTTCAGGACAGTCCGGCAAGGAGAGAGGACTACACCAAAGTAACAGGAAGCTCACTGTTTGCTTTGAAGTTCTGCAAACATAGGTGGTTGGAGAATGTCTTGGTTGCAGAACGTACACAGAGTATGTGGGACAGTGTTGTCAAGTATGTTCAGAGTGCAAGGGCAGGAAAAGTTCCACAGCCACAGAATAAATCCTTTGACACTGTACAAGAGTTTGTTGCAGATCCCTTTACGACTGCAAAAGTCGCCTTCTACCTATCAGTAGCCAAGCAAGTGACACCGTTTTTGACACTCTATCAAACCGACAAGCCTATGCTTCCTTTCCTGGCTACAGACCTGTACAGCATGCTTGGGGGATTAATGAGAAGATTTATTAAGACCACTGTTATCAGTGAAGCCAAAACCCCATTGAAGCTTACAAAACTTGACCCTGCTGACTCCAGCATTCATGCCTCTCATTCCAAGATTGACCTGGGGTTTACAGCTGACAAGAAGATCGAGGACTTGATTGCAAAGGCCACAGTTTCAGAGAAAAGAGTGCTTCAGTTTCAGATGGAATGCAAGGAGTTCCTTATGAAAGTAGTTTGCAAACTGATTGCCAAAGCACCAATTCAGTATTCCCTTGTAAGGAATATAAATTGCTTAGATCCAAGGAACATGATGAGTGACCATGATGTTTCCATCACAAAATTCAAGAGAGTTTTGACTACCCTTGAAAATGCCAAGAAAGTCCTGGAAGGTGAATGTGATTCCCTTTTGGAACTATTTAGACAATTCATTATGGAAGCCCCCTCTTCTCCGTCGGAGTTCAAAGACTATGATCCTAACAATGATAGACTTGATTCCTTTCTGTATCTTCACATGGGACAGAAGCGATCCTACCAATCATTGTGGAAAGTAGTCTCAGAGCTACTGATATTATCACATGGCCAGGCCAGTGTCGAAAGAGGATTGTCAGTCAATAAGCAACTGGAAGTCGAGAACCTCCAAGAGCGCTCCTTCATTGCACAAAGGCTGGTACAAGATCATGTACAATCTGTGGGAGGTGTCCTTGCTGTTTCAATCGACAAACCACTTCTTTTGTCAGCTGCCGGAGCTAGGCAGAATTATTTATCATATCTTGATGAACAAAAGAGGAAGAAAACCTCTGAGGGTGTAGAACTGAAGCGAAAGGAGCTAGTCGATGAACTTGAGGAACTTAAAAAGAAAAGAAGGCGTTTAGACACTGATGTTGACAATCTTGTTAAATCAGCAGACGAGTTTGCACAGAAAGCAGAGGACACTGGGAAACTTGTGTGGATTACAAAGTCAAATAGTTTGAGGAGAACTGCAAAAGAAAAGGAGATGGCTCGCAAAGACCTTGAGTGCAAAATTGCGAATGTTGTGGATGAACTAAAAAAGGCATAGACTTTAAGCTCGACTTAAGCTCGGCACAATTGCTACTATAAGGTGAACATCCTTTTATTTTGCAGTTGTTGGAGTCCTTGAAAAATGAAAAATATGTCCTTGAAAAGTCCTTGAATTTTTAGTCCAAAAAAGGGTACGAACCCTGAAATAAACATAATAATTTCTTTATTATGTTGGAGCTTAACTCTAGTATGTTCGTTCAAACATACGCTACAGCTCGCACTGCAAAAGTGAGAACCGGCTGGCGGTATACGTGATTTTGGGCATTTTTTTAACGGTTTAGCTAAAAGCCCACGCGTGCTTTGATCATCCTGAATATTGAATGAGTGCAATTTCTGTTGCAAAATTGTGAAATACTGCATTCTGTCCGAGGTCTGTGTGATAAAAACAGTACCTCATAGTACTGTTTCACCTCAGATGCGATGTATAAATGGTATAAAAGGTTGATTTACACGCAAACAGATTTGTTGGCAAGATTTTGTAAAGTAAACTTGTCAAACGCAAAAAAATTCAACCTGATTTATTTTCCAGGCCTAATTTAATCTTACGGTGATCAAGAGCCATCATGGCTCTTAAATGATCGAAGACGATTGCTATTTTTTGGGTGTACATATGAGGTTATCAACTCCATGTAAGATTTTGTTCACTTTTGGGCTGTTTGCAAATTATTTTTCTCAAAAATCACTTAGCCTTTCCCTCAAAAGTCACATGAATGTGCTATGTGCTCTAAAGTTAACTAAATTGTGGAATACCAGTTTATTGTTTGATTTAAATTATAAATAAATTAATGAGAGCCTCGCTTTTAGCCCTGGCTAAATCTATATATTAACGGTAATGAAAGCATCATAGCACTTGTAGTCGCAGGTCCCGATTATGAGTGCCTTTATGTCGATGTAGGCACAAATGGACGTAATCCAGACGGATATGCTTGGAGTAGATGGTCATTAATAATGGCACTTGAAAATCCAGACAATCCGTTAAATATACCAGCTGATGAGCCGTTACCAGGTTATTCCAAGCCTGTACCATTCGTGCTTACTGGCGATGAAGCATTTCCTTTATCAGAGCATATGTTAAAACCTTATCCCAACAGGAACCTTTCTGTTGAACAAAGAGTAGCTAATAAAAGAATATCTAGAGGAAGAAGAATATCTGAAAATCTTTTGGGGATCCTTGTGAATAGGTGGAGATGTTTTAAAGTTCCTTTCTTACTCCGTCCTTCCAGAGTCAAGATAATAACATTGGCTGCTTTGAGTCTGCACAACTGGTTAAGAGCTGATGCAAGTTCCAGAAATGTGCATTGTCCTCCAACCTTGATTGACAGAGAGGACCCTAATACCGGTGAAATTATCCCAGGTTCATGGAGAGACAACAGTGAAAGGCAGTCATTTTTGGACCTCTATCCCTCAACAACTAAGAATAAATTACTCAAATGATGCAAGGTGTATGCGAGAGGAGTTCACCCGGTGGTTCACTGATGAAGGTGATTTGAGTTGGCAAAGAAAAACGTGTGGACTTTAAGGAACTTTCACTTGCTAAAATACAAATTCACAACTTTCACATGTCCATAATGCACCTTGTTTACCCCCCAAAATGTTTGCATAAGCATTGTTTCCAATTTCTTTTTGGATTTACATTCCTCCCAAGAGAACTTGAAAACAATACTTATGTAAAATTTTAGAGGGCAAACAAGGTGTACTATGGTTCATGTGAAAGTTGTGAATAATAGAAACCTATGCACTATCTTGGTGGACTGGCAATGAAGTTCACTATTACTGAAACTTGTAAATTATATGTTAAAGCCTTCTTCACACCTTTATCACCTAGGTTGTTCAGTTAATAGTTGAGTCCCTGGGCCATTGATTTACCAGTTGTAAAAGTTAAACGGCCTTTGTGCGAATACCAGGCACTGACTGAAGGTACAAGCTTCATCTAAATATTTGGTAAATTATATCTTTAATAAGGCCCACTGTTATCCATGTTTCAGTAAAGTCACATTTTAACTAACAAAATAAAGTTCGAAAGGTTCAAGGTTTATGCAGTTCTCATATCCACAATGTCTGCCAGTTTGGATTATGTTTTCCATTCTGAATTAGAGTTCATTTATACAAGCATGCTAAATAGCACAATGTTATTTTGTTGGTGTCCATTGCTAAAATTAGTGTTATTTTGCTCGAATTAGTTAATACTCTTTCATGATTATACTAAAATTTAATGTACTCTGTTCAGTCTTATTTTGAAAGACGAAAGATTCATTAACCGTCGTTTGGTGTATTGTAAATAGCACACGCACACAAAATAACAAGTTCAGAAAAACTACAACATTTATTCAACAGCTTTCATGAACGATACAGGTGAAAATCAGAATACTCCAAATTCAGAATAACAAACTGCAATGGGTTTTCTATAAACATGCAAACAAACTAAAACCTTGAACAATGGTAACCAAGAAAACTAAAAATTGTAATAATCCCCTCGAGGGTACTGTAAGGAATGTGTACAGCAGCCAACAGAACGATGACTTGATGAGGGAGTGGGACTATATCTATCCCTTGAGTAGGCTATATGTGGAGTAATTCTAGTATCGACTTCCCCGTTATCTTCAATTTGGAACAGGATGTCTCCTATACACTTCTTAGCTCTTCTGAAGTTACTGGCACTGAATTTAGACAAGGTAAGTCGAATATAATTGCAATCTGCTGCTACTTCATCTTTTAACACGGAGTTCTCACTAGGAATTACTTAGGGGACTGGTTCGTTGATGGCTCTGACTGCTTCTGAAAATAGCTCAAGCTTTTTCTCCTCACGAGCTTTTTGCAGCTGTTTTGATAATTTTCTGGATTTAGGTTTTGGCTCAGATGTCAAAGAATCTGTGGTTTCATCAGTATCATCACAGACCACAGTTACAAACTGAAGCTGCTCATAAAATTCTCAAGATGGCTTATAGCGGGGCTCCCGCGCCCGCGAAGCGCGCGTGGGACAGAGCCCTATACTCATGGAATATGGTCAACCTCTTTTCGTTTGGTTGTCACGTGATTGACCGAGCGTACGTACGTACGCGTCTACAGATTGTACGGGTGGGGTAGGGGAGACTATCAAAAGGAAGGGAGGGGTGTCTCAGGCGTGTCTTGGAAAGTCCACATTTTTAATATAGGATTTTAGGACATTCACAACATGGTCAATTGACAGCTGTCAAAAGAGGATAGCCACTGACCAGTATCCCATGACCATATCGCGGGCTCATGTGTCAACTCATCGAGGTGACGTGATTTATTTGGAAGCTGTCCGCTGACCAGTTAATTGTTTTACTAGATCGCCAACAATGTTCAATCTCATACTTTTACTAGTTAAACTGATAATGCACACATATTGGACATCAATGTTTTGATCAATTGACAGCTGTCAAAACAGGGTACCCGCTGACCAGTATCACTTGACCGTATCGCGGGCTCAGGTGTCGACCCATCGAGGTCAAGTATTTTTTTGAAGTTATCCGCTGACAAGTTACTAGTTTTCAAGTGATTGCAGGCTCAAGTTCAAGTTTTTTCTAAATTCATATGAAATATGTTGTGTTTATGTGCTACACAATTAAAATTTTGATTGCAAACTCACCTCGGATGCGAAAATTCAGCCAGCTGTTACAGGCAGGGAAGACAGTTGCTTTTGACTTTTCTCACCATGGTCACGCGTTGGTCACGCTCTACGTCCAATGTTTATGCTCTGATTGGTAAAATTTGACAGATGAGTTCATGCGGAAAATTTATGCAGCATCTTGAATCTTGTTTACTTTGACAGCTGAGGCTGACAGAGTTTTGTGTCAACTTGTGATGTTTTTAACTGTCTTTTTCCACTGGATGTGCAAAATGAAATTCAGCTGCTATCAGGAGTCCTCTGTTATTCATGGCTAGTTTGTTTATTGGGTTTTTGGTTGAGGAATACGTCGCTTGTCGAAGTCGGAAATCCGATTTCGGATGGCATCATTTTCGTTTTCACCTTGCTTGATGCGTAAGAGGATTGCAAAGTCTGAAGCGATACTGGCTTTTCTTAATACCTTTCAGGAGCTGCATTTCAAATGGTAAGCCAGAGAAATTATTGTATTTGATGTTTGTTTTTTTGGATCTAATTTAATGAAGTCGAGCGGAGTTTATGCGGTCATTTAGTTTATGCACGTTTGTAAGATTTGAGACAATGATCTGACCGAGTATCAGGTTTGATATAAGCTTACAGAACTTTAAAAAGCCTTTAGACAGTTTCTCACCGCAAATAGAAAGAAAACGTTCCAAAGAATATTTAGTTATAATTCTGGCCGGAAAAGAAAGCTTTGAGCGATTTTCTTGCCTCGAGTTTGTCTTAGAAAAAAGCAAACACCGGGAAGCCGGCTTAAAACATAAACTTAAGCTTGAAGCTTGAAGACTCAGGATTTTTAGGGATACTTTAATACTTGTCTTCCTGAATGAAAATTGTTGTTTCTGTATATGTTTCACCGAATTATGTTTCTTTTATTGATTGTTAGTAGTCTCTCTTGTAATTTTAATCACTGTGCCGATTGTTTTCAGTCGTTCAGTGAACATCGCTTGCAGGAGTACTCAAAATGCCGCGCGTTAATAAACCATTAAATAAAAAATAAACAGAATAAATTCTTTATAATGTTGGAGCGTAACTCTGTTAATGTTCATTCAAACACTTGCCACAACTCGCACTACAAAAGTGAGAACCGGATGGCCGTATAGGTGATTTTGGAAATTTTTTTAACAGTTTATGAATATTGAATGAGTGCAATTTGTATTGTGAAATACTGCTTTCTGTCCAAGGTCTGCCAGTATGATAAAAACAGTGCCTCATCCTACTGTTTCACCTCAGATGTGATGTATAAATGGTATAAAAGGTTGGTTTAAACGCACCCAGATTTGTTGACAAGATTTTGCAAAGTAAACTTCTCGAATGCAAAAAAGGTGGCCTGATTTGTTTTTTCCACTAATTAATCTACGGTGATCAAGAGCCATTATGGCTCTTAAATGTGACCGAAGATGATTACCAGTTTTTGGGTGTACATATGAGGCTATCAACTCGATGTAACATTTGATTCACTCTTGGGCTGTTTGCAAATTATTTTTCTCTAAAATCAGGTAGCCTTTCCCTCTAAAGTCACATAAATGTGCTCTAAAGTTAACTGAATTGTGGAATTCGAATACAACTTTATTGTTTACTTTAAATTATAAATTTATTAATGGGAGCCTCGCTTTTAGCCCTGGCTAAATCTATATATTATATTTCATTTGTCCCTGCTCCAGATGGCTTGATTTGTACCTTGGCATGCTCTTCTCTGAAATGCTTTAAAAGTTGTTTCCATTTCTTTTTGATACCCCCAACATCATACTTTTCATCAAGCTCTTTTACCAGTATGTCATAAAGTAATTCTTTGTGTCTTACTTGATGATACTCAGGAGTGTTGTGGTTCCATAGACATTCATTTTTTTGGTAAAAAGCAATAAGTACGTCTACAATCATAGATCAATTACAGATCTGATTAAAATAATTGAGCCCCCCAAAAAAACTACAATAAAAAACATGATACGGTAAAAGCTTCATGTGCATGAAATATAGGTTTAGCTAAAGAGGATAATACAAATTGATCGCATGCACCCAGAATAAAATGATAAGCATTAGTAAAAAGTTTCTTTCACCAAAACGCTAAGTTTAGTTCGTCACAAAAACTTTAATCGCATTTCCTGCGTTTGCTTGCTTGTGGTCTACTTCAGGGTTTCAAGTTAAAGCCTCTAACAACATGACTTAAGAGGTCGAACCTATCAATTCGTACCCGTTTGTTTGCAAGACCACTCAGCGTCCCTGTTTTCTGAACTTGCTGATTCTATGTATCTTCTTAGAAAGGCCATATCTTTCCACTACAGCCATTTCACTTCTTCCTCTGACTTCTTCATGTGGCGAAGCAATGAGCTTCGAAGTGTGTGCCACCTCTTTTTGATATCCGTAATGGTCTTATCAGGCATTTTAGCCAGTAATGGTGCAAACACTTTCTTTGTTACCGCTTTGTTTCCGTAGTCTTTGTGGCTTTTATCATACAAAACCGCGTTGTCTTTGTAAAAGTCAATCACAATTCGAGAATTGGTGACACTCCAAGTAGTTTCCTCGTTCTCTTGTCCATCCACTTGCTCTATTTTGGGCTCATCAACTTCTGCACATTCACTTTCAGTGGACACCATGTTGAAGCGCGAGTTAAGGGCTCCAATGGAATTGTGGGTGGAAATACTGTCTAATTTGATTGGTTAATGTGTTACATTTGCCGTATTAATTCCTGCGCAACAAAAAGTGTCAGTACTCACGAGGGAGTGTTTTCAAGTTTGCTCAATTTGCCCTGGGAGCTTGCTCCCAAATATTTAACCGGTTAAATATCGTGGAGCATTTTGTGGGGTGGAAATTCTGCTCCCGAGGATGAAGTATACCCATGAAATCGTTGGTACACACGGAGGTGCTTTGCTCCTGGAGCGTGCCCTGGAGCATGCTCGGGGAGCAAAACTCCTCGTGTGTATCGGCCTTTATGGAAACCTGAGAAAAGTGCCCCCTTTTCTCATGAAAAGCCGGATATTTTTAGGATTTGTCTTCGATATAAAGTGAATCAACTTTCTTGAGTAATATTTATATCTCAACAATCACAAAAAAGCTGGAAAAAGAAATTCCTTGAGTTTGCAACTTTGTGCCTTTTTCTTCAAAGTAAGAAAGTCTACTTCTTCCCTCTTTCTTTGTTTGGTCTTTTTGGCGGACAATTGTCAAATAAAGGCGGGAATCCAAATCTTCGGTCCTCTCGACTCACAGCTGTCAAAAATGACAGGTAATTGTGAGCAATAAATTGCGATGTTAACTTACAAGTGTTCTTATGCAGTTGCACACTTTTTGTTCCGGCAATGTTTGCAAGCGTGTTGGACGTTTATGTCAAGATTATAAGATGGACGAGAAGCAAAAAAAGGGGTAAAACTTAAGTCTTTAACTCTAAACAACGGTACTCTGGCCAAGATATTTAGGCTCGTCGTAAACCAGGAAATCTACGTACACTTTCTTCAAAGAAGGGGAAATAATTCTCTCATCGTGGCTTTTAGCACGTCGAGGACTTTCAGAAGACGTACTTAGTCAACGGAGAACAAATGACTGTGAACTCAGCTCAGTAGTGCCCGCAATGCAGTCTACAGCACTTGGTGTACCTCTTTTCTTACCAACGGACAGCCGCACGAACAAATCTTAACTAAAATGACCGACCCTCACCACCACCAAGAAGGGTCTAGTGATGTGGAAGAAATCACTTGTATGGTGGACATGTTGCCATCTGGCGAAATCAGAGAAAAGTTCCAGGTGCACTGTGTTGCTGACCGAAGAAACTTCATTGGTTGATGAAGTATTTGCATCCAGAAGAATCACTTCAAAGCCTAATTGTTGTTTTAGTAGACTCTGTACTTCATTGATCGATGAAGTTTCTTCGGTCAACGACATGTTCATCTGGAACTCTTCTTTGATTTCGCCAGACGGCAACATGTCCACCACGAAAAGTGATTTCTTCCACGCCCTTGACCCTTCTTGCTGGTTGTGAAGGTGAGTCGTTTTAGTACCGCCAGTGCACTCTGCCCAGGTGGACGGCTGAGATTTGTTCTTGTCGCCATCCTCTGGAACGTCTTCTCAAAGCCTGCAACGTGCTAATAACCAGACTTATGGTGGAATTATCTCCCCTTCTTCGAAGGACATGCACGCAGATCCCCTGCTTTAGATCGTGTCGGAAACGTGTTGTTATCATATTGCGTGACAAATAGGACGTGGCCATTTTGACATGAATGTAAGCTGAACCAATAGATAAAATCAACAATCACCGGAAATTCCTGTGTGGCCAAACTATGAGCGATAAAAGAATAGGACCGAGTAGATTTACGAGCAGTTTTTTGTGACAGTGAGAGTTGTACCTGAGGTGATCGAATTGTGACTGTGAGAATAAAACCCTTAAAAACATTTTGTGAATTTTGGAGAGCACTGAAGTAGAGTGGACATTCTCCAAACGTGGCACCTCCGACGGGACCGCTATCTGCATGGTTGTGAGTATAATTAAGTCCTGAATCCTATATTTTAAACCTACGCCGTCGACGGAGAATGGAGAACGCAAAGGGAAAACTGCAAACGAAACTTACGCAACTAGAAACCCATGCCAAGAGAACGGAACAAGTGCTACATTCAGGATCTGTAGAAGCTATTGAAAGACATACGGGAGCATTAAGATCTACAATATTAAGACCTACAATATCTCAAGCGGACGAGTTAAAGTGTGCGTTGGAAGCCTTAAAGACAGAAGCAGACGAAGATCTTGGTGACATAGGTGCGTGGAATACTACGATTGACCTTCAGTTAAGAAGACAAAGAAGCTGACGAAGAAGTGGGGAAGCTTCGCAAATGGCTCGAGAACAGAAGACGCCAAGAAGAGATGGCGAAACTGCATGAACAAAAGATGAAACTTCAGACCGAAATGGTCACGCAAGCGAGCCACGAAGGAGGCGGGTCACCTAAACAAACACAAGCGAAGCTACCAAAGATGGCAATTCAAAGATTCGAAGGCTCTAACTTAGATTGGCCGAGGTTCTGGGGTCAGTTTACGCAGACGATCGACAAGGCCGAAATAACACCAATCAATAAATTCACCTATTTATGTGGGCTACTGGGTCCCAAGGTTAAAACCACTGTGGAAGCCTTGCCGTTTACAGCTGAGGACTACAATAGAGCCAAGTCGATTTTACTTAGCAACTATGGGAAGGAATCCGAAATAACCAAGGCGTTCGTCAAAGAAATAATAGGAGGATAAGCGAGTTTAGCGAGAAACTGACTTATTGTGTCCAAGCATTGGAAACTATGAATAAACTCAGTGAAGTTAATGGCAACGTACCGATGACACTGGATAAACTGCCAGCTATTCGTGGAGACCTGGTACAAATGGATCCGGATTGGGAGAAGTGGAATTTCGCCCAGTTGTAAGAGGCAGTAAGACTTTGGACAAAACGAAACCCAATTGAAGAACGGGAAACATCAGAGCAGCCTAATTCGAAACGTGACCGCTCAAGGAAGCTCTTCCAAGCACGTGGTGGGGATGGTAAGCCAAACAAATGCGTTTATTGTGGTGATGTGACACACAGATCATCTGAATGCCAGAAGATCTCAACCCTGAACGAACGAAAGCAGTTTTTGGCAAGAAAGCAGCTATGTTTCAATTGTGCAACACCGAATCATCGCGCCGCGGAGTGTTTCAGCAAGAAGACATGCTTACATTGTCACAAACATCATGATATGTGATATGTGATCGTGAACAAACGAACAGCGGGAACCAGACGTTGATGACAGCCAGTGGAAACAATGAAGGCATCATGCCAGTTTTGACAGTGAAGGTTGATGGTATTGTGTGTCGCACGTTGATAGATACCGCCGCGGGAAGCTCAAATGCATCTGCGAAGCTATTGGATCTTCTAAAGAAAAAGCCAAGTGAAACGAAAACAAAACGTGTAGAAATGCTAATGAGCTCCAAAGTAACCAAATTAGAAGTGTACGACACGTCGTGGAATCTTAAGAAGGAAATTACCAGATGTCTGTAAAAATGACCAAGGTGAACAAAGCTGAGCTGTTATCGATTGACAACCCAAATTATGGACAATTGATAAATGAGTACCCACATCTGCAAGGAGTCAAAATCACAGACCGTGACACAAAGGAACAACTTCCCATACACGTCGTACTAGGAAGCGGGGAATATGTGCGCGTAAAAACTGAGACAAAGCCTCAAATTGGACAGGATGGAGAACCGGTGGCGAAATTTGACCACAACACGATGCTGCTCATGCAAACATCACAGAGTGACTATGAAGAGTTATGCAGGGTTGACGTACTAGGGCTTGCAGACACACCAGAACAAGATCAAAGCATGGGGCACGCAGAATTTAAGAGCGAATGCATAGAAAAATCGAGCAAAATCGGCAAAACGTGGCCACAGCTAAAAACCTAACTTACCCTCATTTTCAGTCTGTAATAAGGTTTTAATGAGTTTATAACACTGCTGAGGTTTAAATTTCAAAATGCGGCCGAGTTTGGGAATTATTTAAGATTTTCGATTTCAACGGTCTGCGGGTCTAAAATTAGCCGCCGAACACGGCAATATAGCCTAGCGACAGAAATGAGCTGACTTTCATAAACGAGCGAATATATTGGCAATCTTCCACTTAAATCTCAAAAAGCAGATATCTAACAATTTCTGAACAGCACATTTTTTAGATTTAGAGCATAAAATATCGACGAACCAGGAGAATTTTGAAACGTAATTTGCATAATGCTTGTAAATACAACAATTTACCGCTAAAACCAAAATCGAATTTTCTATATGGGGGAATTCTCCAAATCACCCCAAATCCCGCTTACTACCTAATGAGATATAGTACTTCAACATTATCTGAAAGTTAGTCTGGTGTTCTCGCGAACGC